CCCCAAAACCCCAAAACCCCAAAACCCCAAAACCCCAAAACCCCAAAACCCCAAATAATCTGGAGAGATAGTAATATTAGGCAAAATGTAACATCCTTTTATTTAGTTTGGTTAATAGGAGTCACAGAAAGAGGAAATGATGAAAAACCAATAAAAATTTTGATTTAATCTTGGGAAATATATAAGACTTATGATATGAAACCTCTTAATTTTCTTCAGTTATTGAATCTTCTTGAGTGCCTGTTCCAGATCTTCAATAATATCGTCTATGTCTTCAACACCGATTGCTAATCTGATCAAGCCATCTTTAATTCCAATTTTCTCCCTTTCTTCTTTAGGCATCTTTTTATGAGACATGACGGAAGGACAACTAGCTCAGCTTTGGACTCCCCCAAGAGATTTTCATAGTTCAAATATTTTTAGGGATTTTAAGAAGATTTTGGCTTCTTCACAATCAGCATCTTTTAACTCAAATCTGGAGATAAAAGTTAGAAAAGGTTCACATCAGATTTAAAAGAGGAACACACATTTAAATATACTTACCAGACTAAACCTGCACCACCTGTTGCTTGACTCTTATGAAGCTCATAGCCTTCATGACTTTTAAGCATTGGATAGTATACCTTATCGACCTGTGTATTCTCCTCTAAAAATGCAGCCACTTTTGTCCCATTCTTGTTGATTTTCTTCATTCGAAGAGGGAAAGTTTTGAGAGATCTTAATACTAAATATCAATCCATAGGAGACACCGTTTGTCCCATTATAGAGCATGTTTCTCTCATGCTTTGATATAAGTCTTCGTCATTTGTAACCAAGGCACCCATCACCAGATCTGAGTGGCCTCCAAGATACTTTGTTACAGATTGGATCACAATAGTTGCTCCTAATTGGAGAGGATTTTGAAAATAGGGACTCATCAGAGTATTATCAACCACCAATATGATGTTGTTCTCTTTACAAATCTCAGCTACTGCTTTGATGTCATAAATCTCTAGCAAAGGATTTGAAGGAGACTCCATCCATACCATTTTAGTATTTTCTTTCATGCAGTCCTCAATGTTTTTAGTATCACGGAAGTTTACATAATCTATCTCAATCCCATAATTTGGCTTCACAATTTTCTTCAAATATGTTCCTGTTGCAGCTCATATATCATCAATGCAAATCATCCCATCTCCATGCTTCAGCAAATGAATGGCTAACATTGAGACACTCATGCAGGAGTTTGCTACAAGTCCAAATTTACCATTTTCAAGTGAGGCAATGCACTTTTCTAAAGCATCTCTTGTTGGATTTCCATCTCTTCCATACATATGATCAAAGGTCGGAACACCTCAATCTTCTTGAGAATAGATTGAAGTCATGTGGATAGGGACATTTATGCTCCCATGAATAGCATCTGAAGGTTGTCCAACATGAACTGCTCTTGTATCAATAGCTTTTGAGTCAAAGATTTCATGATGATCTTCATAATAGCTAAGTTTGTCCTCTCTAGTAATAGATTTCATTTGTATCTGTCGTAAAAATTAATTTAAATAGCATCAATTTGTGTGGTATAAATAGGGGTTTTGGGGTTTTGGGGTTTTGGGGG